GCTGCGTTTGAACCCCAGTTCACAGGGCCAGATAGACCTGTGCTCACAGAGGAGTTAAGCAAAAAGCCGATCTAGCGGGGGCCACAAGGCTGGTATGGCTTTGCTGGGTCCGTTGGTGAGGCCAGATGTTTATAAAGCAGGGAAGACTTTGGCAGATCTGAGCGACTTAGACCAGCTTGTGAACAGGGCCCGTGGTGTGAGGGCACAGCCTGGGACAGCTAGGAAAGTGATAAAGCAGAGGAAGAGGCCTGGGTTCCGCAAAGACAGATGTGGCAAGATTTGTGTGCAGCTGGAGTCCATAAGAAAAAAAACTGATTTGCCAGATTGTGTGCTGAGGGGCTTCGACAAAGCTTTAAAGTCCAAACGAGCCTGAGGAGCAGTCCACGGAAGACATCACGACAGAACAATAAAAGTGAAGATGACCAAGCTCTTCCGGAAGTGGGTCACCACCCCCAGACGAAGGAGGGTTTATTTCCCTCCAGCAAACGGTTATGCCTGGGATTCAGATGGTTAGATGGGAACTCTCCAGAACAGTCAGGTGTGGTAAATCCTGAGGCTAGAACTCCAGAGCAACCCAGGGCCACTCCCCGCCAGGGGGCCGGCAGGTGCAGCAGGGTCACTTCCTTCACCTTTGGCCCTGAGGAGGTCTGAGCAGATAAAGGGAGGCCCCATGAGGTTTGTCAGGGCTGGAGACATGTCGGGAGGCTCCGGGGAAGAGCTCCAGGACATGGCAGCGTACTAGGAGAATGTCTCCATTTATCCATTCCTTGTGCCCAGCCTTGACCTGTGGATGGAGCAGCCGTGTTGTATCAGGCCCAGCTTGTTCTGACTTCAGCACCTTCGTAGCTGTGAACCTCTGGGCTCAGCTGAACCTGCTGAGAACAGATGACAACAGACTTCTGATAGGACACTCTCAGAGCACTTCCTTGCCTCCATTACAGGATAGCGGTTTGTGATGCTGCCTTGTCCCGAAAGAGGGCTGTTATGTTGATGATGTAATGCCAACCCTCTGAGTGCCCTGCCGATTTGGAAAGTCGCTGGAGAGGCAACCACTCTTCCACTCACCTTGAGGCCCTACCAGGGCTGGCTTCACTGAAAGGTTCAGCGCCAGGGGCGGGCTACCTCCCCGTGAGCTGTTGGCCAGGGAAGCCCCTTGGGCTTCACAAACCATAAAGGCCATTGCTTCTGCTGTGGGCTGTGTGCCAGAACTAGATGGTAAAACCCCATTCCCGAAGACAGCGCATGTGCACGCTGTGACTGCGGGACGTGGAGAAATTAAGCTGGGACTGGACTGGAAACTCCCGTCCTGCTGGTTGCTTTTCACATGCCAGAGGGGACCATGCAGGCTGCTGGTGGAGAGCCATCACCAACATTCCTACTTGGCTACGGCCCCCAAGTGCTAACAGCATCATACCAGGGAGGATGTGCCTGCTCGGGCACTATTGGCTGGACTATGGTGGATTTAAGGCCCACTCCACAGGAGGGAGTTCGCATCTAGTACTGTGACCAAGACAAAAACCTGGGGGGGGGGGGAATCACTGGTCCCATCGGGGAAGCAACTTCTGTGCTTTTTCTAGACGGATGTGATGTGCCTGTCAAACCGCCTTCTCAACATGTGAATTTAGCCTGTGGATCAACTGTCATTGCCAGCCTCAACTCAACTACTGGCGAAGCTCCTGAGAACAAGTGACTCTCACTGTGGCATGGTGGCCTACTCCTTAGTTATAGGTGGATGGCTATAGTTACCCCCTCCGAGGCTCAGAGATCATTTCAGAAGCCTGAGGAAAGTCCTGTGTGACTGTTTCCTCCAAGATCAAAACAATCTAACCTGCAGGGAGCAACTTAAGCAGGAAGGTAAACACCTCAAAATAGCTTCAGGAAGTCCCTGAAACCAACTAGATTCAATAGACAACCTTCCTTCCAGAATAAGCCATAAAAGTGGAAAGTTCCCTCTGTGTCTAGCAGAACAGACCAGCGAACACAACTCAGGAAAGCTGAGCTGCAAAAGAACAACTCAGGAAAGCAGATCAGCTGCTTGGGAGATGCAGAAACCAGCTGAGCTGCCTGGAGAAGGTTTAGACCCGAGTCCCTTGGAAAGGACACCCTCCAGCTTGCTGAGCTGCCCGAAGGCTGCGCAGTGTGCTCCAGGTCCCAGCTCTGTGAGCTGTCACCAGGCTGGGGCGGGCTTTGGTGACGCAGCTGGCTTTGAGTCATTTCTACTCCTGTGACCCCCTCCCCACCTGTATTCCTTTAAGGAGCCCCAGTAAAACTCACTGGCTCACCGGGTTGGACTCCGCTGGAATCTACACTTGGATCTGTCGTGGGGTCCCTGTCTAGGATTTGTTGTGTCTCCCCAGGATAAATTGGTCACACAGTGCTATTCAGCCAGGGGTGTAGCTGTTTTCTGAAGGATGGATAGGTCATGGCTGCGGCTGGCAGTCTCCAGCAGATTCAGAATCAGCCCTAAACTACTGTATGTGACCGAGGGTCCCCCTGACACACACACACACACACACACACACACACACACACACACTCACAGAAATCTCAAATATACAGAAATGACCAGCCTTTCCTATGCTGACTGTGTCCCGTCTCCCCTTTGGTGAGTGGCAGGAGAGCTGGCACAAAGAACAAGCTTTCTGAAAATTGCTGGGTTGGCAGACGGTCTTGTCACTGACAAAAGCCACTGTGATGGGCAGAGCAGGAATTAAGCAGGCCATGGGGATGGTAAGATGTCTCTCTACAGCCCAGGCTGGCCTTGAACTTGCCATCCTCCTGCCTCAGGTGTCAGAGAGCTTGGATGGGGGCTGTTCGACCAGCCAGATGTTACCTGAGTGTACTTGGAGACTTCTGTGTCCCTTGCCTTGCACATACTGTTTAGAGATAAGAGACAGGAATTGCTTTAGGGCCAAAAATATATATATATATTCTTCTTTTCGAAGTCTGTTAGATTTCATCTATATGTTTTGAAGAAAGTGCTTTAAAGCAGCTCCTTCCTGTGGGCGAGAGCAATGGCACAGATGTGAGTACTTGCCACTCGTCCAACTCAGGTGTGTCTCCCAGCAGCCGCATCAGGCCGCTGGCAGCCACCTGTCATCGCCATTCCAGGGAATCGATGGCCTCTTCCCGCGTCTGCGGGCCCCTGCACACATGAGGGGTGTCGCCATACAGATCCAGCACACACGTATTCACAAATTAAAATTAATAAAAAAATAAAAGTTTTCCCTTCTAGTGAGTCTGTGACAGCCTGTCAAGACTGACGTCAGCAGTAACAGAACAGCCCAACTCAGCCACAGTACAGGCAGAGCAAGGGTGTCACTGTCCTCAGAGCAGAAGCATCCTGAGGAGGCTTGTAGGGGCTGGGCCTCCAGTTTAACACGTGGACAACCTGAGCTCTACTCTGTTAACTTCCAGCAGGCACGCAGGAGTCTACCAGCCGTTAGAAGCAAGGGGTCAGTAGTTGTTACTGGAGGCTGGGCGTGATTTTACGTGCTTGTGATTCTAGCACTCAAGAGGCTGAGGCAGCAGGATCAGGAATCCCGGATTTGCCTGGGCTACACAGAAAGCCTCAGGCCATTCTGGGAAATGATGTTTCACAATAAGAAAGAAGAGGGTGGGGTGCCTGGATCAGTGGGTAGAGGCCCCTGCCTGGAATTCCCCGGTGAGGGGCTGGGGTGTGGCTCAGTGGTAGAGCTCCTGCCTAGAATCCCCCAGTGAGGAGCTGGAGTGTGGCTCAGTGGTGGAGCCCCTGCTTGTAATCTCTCAGTGGAGGCTGGTAGCATGGCTTAGAGGTAGATGCTTGTCGAGAATCAGCAAAGCTTTAAATTCTATCCCTTCCCAAAATACAGCACCTAGAAAGTGTGCCTGTGCGTGTGCGAGTGTGACAGTTTTCTCATGACTGGATGTCTTTTAAGCAAAACAAAGAGCAAGGAGGCCCTGCCACTTTCTGCAAGCCTCTGAATCTTGCTGTGACGTAGCAGCCCCTGGGAAACAGCATTGTATTTATTTTTACTGCTGCCTCTGCTTCCCTCAGGTGACATCTATTCTCTAATTACAATATTTCAATTGTCTTTTTCTTTTTTATATAAAGTATCACTATGTAGTCCAGGCTAGCCTCCAACTCTGGATCCTCCTTCTTCAGCATCCCAAGTCCTGGGCATACAGGCATGAACTACCATGTCTGGCTCGCTCCTCCCTCTTTTTTTTTTTTGTAAAACAAGATCTTCCTATGTAGCCCAGGAGGGACTTGAACTCACTGTTTTCCTGCATCTGCTTCCCTGCTGTGGTTTACAAGTGAGCACCACCATACCTGGCAAAATTTCTAATATGTATATGTGTGTGTGTATTTATGTGATGCATAAGAGCATATGAACAGGGTTAACCTCGGTTCACTCAAGTTAAAGAATCACTCAATTCTAAAACTGTTGGCTAAAGCCAAAAGTAGGGGCTGGCAGGATGGCTCAGTGGGTAAAGCCCGATGACCTGAATGGGACCTCCGGGATCCACTTGGTTGGTGGAAGGAGAGAACCAAGTCCTGAAAGCTGCCTTCTTCCCTCCGAAAGTGAGCCACGGCATACACTAACCAACTAACCAACCAAAACTGCAGGTGGAGGGCTTAGGCAGAACCCTGTGGGTGCATGGAGCTGCAGGGAGCTGCAGGGGCCAGAAGTGCAGCTCACCTACCCCTGAATCCTGCAATGGGGTGCGCCACTGAGGGACCCCCTTTCCAGATTTATCCAGAGGGGGCTGGAGAGCTGGCCTAGTGCTGCTCTTCAGAGGACTGGAGTTCGGCTCCCAGCACCCACGTCAGGCCGCTCTCAACCCTCTGTAACCCCGGCTCCAGGGGATCCCATGCTTCCGGCGTCTTCAGAAAACACTTGCTTCCGTGTGTACACGCCCATACGCAGGCGCACACAGGCCTACACGGAACTACAAATAATAAGAGTTGATCTTAAACTGGGCTCAGAGGCAGCGTGTTCACAGTGCTGGCTTAGATCAGGGTTTCTCAGCCTTTGGGTCGTGACCCCTCCAGGGGTCAAACAACCCCGTCACACGGGTTGCATATTAGATATCCTGCATATCAGATATTCACATTACAGTCCATAACCATGGCAAAAGTACAGCTGTGACGTAGAGACAGAAATAATGTTATGGTTGGGGGTCACCACGCCTTGAGGAACTGTATTGAGAAGGTCGAGGCATGAGGAAGGTCGAAAGCCACTGGCTCAGACCACACATTTTCACCCTTGGAAAGGTTTCTTCTGAGCTAGGGCAACGGCTCAGTCCGAAAAGGGCTTGAGCAAACTCGAGGACCCCAGTTTAGAGGCCCAGCACCCACACAGAAGGAAGGTGTGGTAGAGCATATCTCTAATGTCCCAACGGGGGGCGGGGAGGAGATGGTGCAGAGACAGTGGCCCCTTGAGCTCACTCGCCAGCCAGTCTAGCCAATGGACCTACTCGAAGTTCATTCAGCGAGAGACCCTGTCTCAGAAAATAAGGTGGTTGGGTGGGGCTGGCGAGATGGCGCAACAGGTGGAGCCTCCTGGCACACAAGCCTGGCTTCCTGCATCCAAAATTAACTCCATAAAATCATCCTCTGTGCGGTGTGGTGCACACATCCTTCCACCAACACTCGCTCACTCACGGGTGTGTGGTGGCTCATGCCTGTAATCTGAGCGCTCAAGAGGCTGGGGCAGAATTACTCCAAGGTCAAGGATGACTTGAGCCACATTTTAAAAAAATCTCATAAAAGGGGAATCCATAATTGGGGCTGTGGATGCAGCTCAGTTGGTGCAGTGCTTGCCTGGCATGCACACGCCCCGTGTGCCATCCCCGGCCCTGCATGTACGGAGCACAGAGGTGCACAGGTGTAAGCCCAGCACTCCGGAGGAGAATCAGAAGCTAGGTTCAGTTGATCCTGTTACAGAGTGAATGTGAGACCAGCCTGGGCCTATGCCAGACTGTTTCAAACACAGGAGAGCAGTTCTGGGCAAGACATGAAATGCCAAGTTCCAGCCACAGACAGGACACGCAGGATTCTTCGCTTTAATCTCCACGGTCTGTTTCTCACTTGCCATCATGTGTAAAACTTGGCTAGAGAAGTAGGGAGAGCAGAGGAAACGCAGGGACCAAGCAGCCACCTTGGGCATCGAGGTCAGGTGGGGCAGGAAGTGTGGCTGGGGGCCGGGGAGGGGCCCCTCCCGCCTGCACACTTTCCCAACCTTGGTCACTCCGAGGGTCCCCACCCTGTCCCTGCCTGCATGAGTTGGTAAACGTGGTTTGCAGCCTTTCTGATAACCCTCAGGCCTTGTCCCCACCTTCTTCCCGCATGCCCGCCCATCTAGGAGGCAGGGCACCTTTGGCCAGCTGTCCCCATAGCCTGGCCCTGGAGCCTGCCATCCTGGGTCAAACAGCGCAGGCCGCCTGAGCAGCCTCTGGGCAGCTTAGGAGAGGTGGGGGCTACCCGGAAGTTTTCTCCAGGCTCTTCCTGGAAATCTCTGCATCGGCCATGAGCTCCTCTATCAGGGACAGTCAGGAGGGACAGCTGGCTCGGGGGTTGGTGGGGGCACTGCCACAGAAGCCCAGAACCTGCCTCTAGAGCCTGTCGTCTGGAATCCCAGGGAAAGAAGGCCTGACCGCCTACCCAGGGCAGGGCTTCCTGGCTTTTATCTGCACGTTAACCTGCTTGCCACTGTGACCGTGTCTGTGAATACAGGCGTTTGCAGCAGAACTGTGTCCACCCTTCTGCCTTTCATCCTGACAAATACTCTCATGGTCTACGTCCCTTACAATTCATTGCCTTGTCCACGTTCGCTGTATTGTGAAGGCCAGTTCTCCCTCTTTCCCAACTCACTGTGGCCGAAGATGACCCTGAACCTCTGATCCTCCTGCCTCCGCCTCCCAAGTGTTGGGATTACAGGTGCCAACACAGCCAGTTTAGGTGCTGCTGGAGCTGAAACCCAGGGCTTTGTGCTGGGTGAGCCCCCTATGGCTGAGCTACATCCTCGCCTCCCCGCTTTGCAGTCCCTCCTTAAGTATCCAGTATCTCCCAGCTCCCCGCACGCTGCTCATTCCATCGCTGCTCATTCCATCGGCTCGATAGGGTTTGCTTGGCTCAAACCTCACGCCAGCCGTTTGCCACCAGGCGAGTTCTCAGTCCAGTTTTCCCAGGGAGGGACGAAATTGGGCAGTCTCTCACGCACGTGGGGATGGTCTCTTGTGCATGGCTTCTGGGGGGAGAGTGAATCTGTGAACTCGGTGCCGGGGGAGGGGGGTCTGGGGAAACACGGAAGTCTTCTTTCCCCAAGGAGACTTCAAGATCCTCGGAAAGCCCCCAAACTCGGGTGAAGGCCATGACCCCGGGCCGAAGCGAGGCCCGTGACGGAGCGTGCGGGCGCTCGGGCCGCTCAGGGCCTGCCGGAGGTGGAGGTGGGCTGGGCCCGCGCGGAAGCTCCCGAGGGCGCGGGCCTGGAGGCGCGCAGGAGGCCCAGGCCGCGGGCGCGCCCCGCCCCGTGCAGCTGGCGCTCGTGCCTGCGGATCTGCACCTTGTGCCGGAAGCGCTCGCCGCAGTCCTCGCACACGTAGGGCCGCTCGCCGGAGTGGGTGCGGCGGTGGCGCAGCAGGTTGGAGGAGACGCTGAAGCGCTTGCCGCAGTCGCCGCAGGCGTAGGGGCGCTCCCCGGTGTGCGTGCGCCGGTGCTGCACGAGCGCCGAGCTCTCGCTGAAGCGCTTGGCGCAGTGGGCGCAGGCGTAGGGCTTCTCGCCCGTGTGGATGCGCTGGTGCGTGACGAGGTTGGAGTGCTGCGAGAAGCCCTTCCCGCACTCGCTGCAGAGGAACGGCCTCTCCCCGGTGTGCGTGGCCTGGTGGCGCACCAGGTCCGTGCTGCGGCTGAAGCCCTTGCCACACTCCCCGCAGATGGTCGGCCTGTCCCGCGCCCGCCGCTTCCTCCGCTGCCGGGCGGGCGTCAGGGCCGCGCTCCCCGCGGGGCCCGGGATGGCCACCACGGCGGAGGTGGCCACAGCGGGCAGCACCGTGAGCTCCTGCAGCACCACGTAACCCGGAGGGGCCACCACGACGGTGGCCGGAGCCGGCGCTGCGCCGCCTCCCGGAGCGGGCACCAGCTCCAGCTGCAACTCCGGCTCCACCGGGGTCAGCTCCAGCTGCACCTCCTGTTGCTCCCGCTGCAGCTCCTCCAGCCGCTGCTGCTGCTCCAGGTGCTGCTCCAGCTGATGCAGCTGTTCCTGCAGTTTTAGCTGCAGCTGCCGCTGTTCCTGCAGCCTCTCCAGCTCCTGCCGCTGTTGCTCCAGCTCCTGCTCAGAGCCCACGTCCACGGGCATGAGCTCCAGCTCCACCTCCTCCTCCTCCTCTGGCTCCAGGGGAGGAAGCTGCAGCTGCTGCTGCTGCAGCTGTTCCTCCTGCTGCTGCAACAACTGCTGCTGCAGCAACCGTTCTTGCTGCTGCAGCAATAGGTGCTGCTGTAACTGGGCCTGTTGGTGCTCCAACAGCTGCTGCAGCTGGGCCTGTTGCTGCTGCAGCAGTAGCTGCTGCTGCATCTGTATCTGTGGCTGCAGCAGCAACACCTGCTGCTGCAACGGTTGCTGTTGCAACTGTCCCTGCTGCTGCAACAGTTGCTGTTGTTGGAGCAGCTGCTGCTGCTGTTGTTGAAGTAGCAGCTGCTGCTGCTGTAGCTGCTGCTGCTGCCACAGCTGTTGCTCTTGCAGCTGCTGGAACTGCTGCTGCAATGCTTGGTCTTGCACATGCTGCTGGAACTGCTGCAGCAGCAGTTGGAGATGCTGCTGCTGCAGCTGCTGTTGCTGCAGCTGCTGTTGCTCTTGCATTGGCTGCTGTGACGGCAGCTGCTGCAGCAACACCTGTTCTTCCACTTGCTGCTGCGGTAGCTGATGTTGCATTTGTTGCTGCTGTTGTAACAGCTGTTGCTCTTGGCCTTGGGGCTGCATCATCAACTGTTGCTGCAGCAGTTGTGGCCCTTGGCCTTGTTGCTCCTGTCCAGGTCCCGGCTGCTGCCCCACGTGCAGCTGTGGTTTTGGTTTATGAGGCTGCGTGGACTGGGGGTTTCCCTGCAGTTCTTGCTGCAGCGGAGACAGCCGCTGCCGTCCATCTTGCTGCTGCTGCTGGGGCGGCTCTGGCTGAGATCCTAACTGTTGATGCTGATGCTCTTGCCGCTGCTTGAGCTGCGGCTGTGGCTCTGACTTTCGCAGTCGCAAGTCCTGTGGCTCCAGCTGCTCCGCCTCAGCACTGTTGCCAGCGCCGACTGGGGCTGCAAGTGCTGGGGGCTGCGGATGGCCGTTCCGCTTCTGAACCTCCTCTTCCTCCTGGCTCTCACTCCCACCACTGCCACCTGTAGTGGAAATGGCAGGAAGCCAGGAGAGAAGAAATGACAGGCAGCTATCTGGACCAGACCCCCCCCAAAAAAAGAATGTACTCTGGTACACTAAGGGGCTCTGAGCAGGGACCCCAAAATGTGGGATCAGGGGGCTACGGTGACAGAACAGACATTCCCAGGGTCCCCCTGACGATCTCATTCAGACCCCCTCTGAGCCCCCTCCACACAAGCCCCATGGGTAGCTCTTGGTTTTGATTGCAACAGGGGAGCTTAGGGCTCCTGACACCAATTCCTGAGAGGTCTCTAGCACTTTCTCCCCATACAGGGAAAAACGGCTATTTCAAGCTGAACTCTGACCTCACTATGGCCACATTCTTTTTTCTTTTCTTTTCTTTTCTTTTCTCTTTTCTTTTCTTTCTATCTATCTATCTATCTATCTATCTATCTATCTATCTATCTATCTATCATCTATCTTGTTTTTCAAGACAGGGTTTCTCTGGGTAGTCCTGGCTGTCCTGGAACTAGCTCTGTAGACCAGGCTGGCTTTGAACTCACAGAGAATCTGAGTGCTTCCGCTTACCAAGTGCTGGGATTAAAGGTGTGTGCCACTACCGCCTGCCGATGCTCACACTTTAAGTGAAATTTGCCTTGTCTGTGAATGAGCCATTTCTGTAAGGATACAGCAAGCTGTTTCTAGAAAGCACTGAAGCAGAAAGGAAGCCGGGGGCAGGCAGGGAGTCTGCAGTTCCAAAGTTAACTAAAAAGCCAGGCACAGCAGCATACCTGTAACTCCAGAGGGTGGAGAGAGGAGAGGGGGTCCCTGGAGGAAGGCGGCCGGAAATGCTCGCCATATAGGCGAGCTTTGGGTTCAATTCAGAGACCCTGTCCCATTGAAGAAGGCGGAAGAATGACCAAGGATGATTCATGACACCAACCTGGACACCCACACATACCCACACACGTGAGCACCAAACACTGACAAGATACATGAATGCACACATGCACAGCCACATACCACATGCAAAAAAAAAACCAAAACAGTTGCGTGTAATTATATTTTAGAAAGAACAAACCCTTTCTCATCGCCTTTGTTGGATGCTTTTTTAGAAAAATCTGAGTATCTTGTGCGTATGTGCATGTGTGTTCGAGTGTGTGCTTATGGGAACGTATGTGCCGAAGCACACCTGTAGAGGTCGGGGACAGCCTTGAGCTTTGGACCTGACCTTCCACTTTGAGGCAGGGTCTCTTGTCTGTCACTGCACAGGACAGCCAGGCGAGCTGGCCCTGGGGCTCCCGAGGACTCCCGGCCTGTGCCGCCCATAGAGGCACTGGGGTTCCAGATCCCGTCCTCAGGCCTGTGGGGCAAGCGCCTTCCCGGCGGAGCCACCTCCCGAGCCCCCCGGGAGCGCATCCTCCAGGGCAGCTGGGGTGCTGGGTGGCGGATGAACACGGCTGTGGGACCGTCTCCCCACGGCAGGCTCACCACCGCGCCCTCTCCTCTGCTCTGCTTCTCTGCAGGGACAGACCTCACCTCTGTGTGAGTCTCCGCCTCTCTAGCTTGGTCACGTGGTCACTCTGACTTCCTGGGGCAGCAGTTTCCACAGAAGCATTTTATTGAGCGTGTAGTTAGATGTCACCTGAAGTAGTGTGTGCCTGCTAGAGTTAAACTTACAAGCGGAAAGAGTCTTCGTTCAATTCACAGGTCCCCATCTTATCATTTTATTCTTCCAGTTTCTGTGATATACAGACACACATATCCTCCCTCTCTCTCTGCAATAGTGTCTCATTGTATATAGTCCTAGCCTAGAACTCACCACATAGGTCAACTGTCAAACCGTGACCCTCTTGCCTGGGATTCCAGTCATGTGACCCCAGGCCCAGCTCTTCCTCATTCTCCCTTAACTGTTCAAGCCTATCCCCACACCGTCACTGTTAAAGCCCAGAACGTGAAAACTGACTCTTCTCCGCCCTGACTCAAGCTACCCCTGCATGAGTCTCAGGGAGAGGACGGGAAAGTTCCTCTCTGTGGGGGCCTCTGCGTGGTGGGTGGAGGGAAAGAGACGGGGACGGATGTTGAGGAAATGAGAAGCAGGTAACTATGGAAAAGAAGCCATGCAGCCAGTGCCTGAGGCATCAGAGCCAAAGAAGGACCCTCTAGCCCCATGTGGGAGACGGTGGAAGCCTCCTGGGAAACAACGGTTAGAGCCAGCCCAGGGGTGGGGGGCAGGGCTACCAAATCTGTCAAGGTGTCCCTCTCCTGCCAGACCTTGGCCTGATGGCCACCTCAACAGGTCCTAAATCAAGTTTCAAGGTAGCTGAGGTCAGCAGGCATGAGTGAGACCACCGCTGGCCACACCAGGGTCCTTCTGTTGGGGTCTGGACTGTGCCGGCTTGCAACTCAACTGAAGAACGCTTGCTGGGGCCCCCACTGTCTCCACACCCACAACCCTCACCTGAGAGGGTGTCTGGCCCTGGGCCCCCATCCTCAAGACATCGCAGCTCCAACACAAAGGTCTCTGTTGCTCGGCCCAGCTCCATCCTGGTGCGCACACCAGGGTCTCCGGGAGCAGGCTGTGCAAAGAGGAATAAAGGGAACTGTTCAAGAGGGAGGTGATGGCTGGGCCCCATTCCTACACAGACCAGCCCGAGCTGTTAGGATACACACAGCTCCACCTCAGCTGACAAGCGGTCCTCCTGCCCCCACCCCGAAACAGCGGCGGGAACCAGCCTCTCCAGGGCTTCGAAGCTCGAGGCACAGCTCCTTGTCCCCTTCCAAAGCAGGACCATCCCCCAGGCTTCAAAGGCCACACAGGGCAGGTGTCACCCCCAATCCCTGGGAAGGCAGGTGTCCAGAGCCCTGACACCCGTGGCAGGCGCCTCCTGCAGGTCCGCGTTCCTGTCCTAGGTCCACTCTGAAGAAGGGGTCTCCACACTCAGGCGTCCCCACGCCCCCACGCCAGCTGACTAGGTCTGTCTTCGGCTTCAGGAGCCGTCCTTAGAGCAGCGTCCCCGGGCAGGGTTCTCCCGCCAGGCCTCACCTGGAGCAGCATTTCCCGCCGGCAGCAGCCTCTGCGCCAGGGGAGGTGTGGTCACCCGCGGCCACAAGGTGAAGGCCGCCGCCGCCGTTCAGCCAGCTCCTTCCGGAGGCGCCTGCATCTAGAACGGAGGCTCCGACCACCCCCGGGGACAACCCTTTACAGGCACCCCACGGGGTCTCCGCTGTCAGAGCTGCCGAGGTCGCCCTGGGCCAAGACAAGGTGCAGAGTGGAGTTCCCAGGCAGAAGTTGGCGGAGACTCGCACGCAGGGCCAGGGAAGGGAGGCAGGGCTCCAGTCCCCGCGCAGGGCTCGGGGTTGGTAGGGTGGCCGTGGCGCGCAGCAGGGCCTACGCTGGGGCCCTGGGTCGGATCGGGGGGGAAGCCGGTGACAAGGGTCCTGGGCGGTCACCGGCCACAGGTGCCCGGGGGGCGGGCGGGCGGCGCGGCCGGGCCGGGTCCCCGATCGCTCGCCCGCCCTCCCGGGCTGTGCGTCCGTGCGGGGAGCGGCCGGACCGGGGCGGGGGCGCTGGGGGGCCGGCACAGGAAGTCCCCCCGGCATCCGCATCCTGTCCCCCGCCCCTGCCGCCCGCCGCGCCCCCGCGCCCCGGCCCCCGCTACCGCCACCGCGGCCGCTGCCTTCGCCAAACCGCTGCCGCCGCCTCTCTAGGCCGCGCCGCCAGCTCTGTGGGCTTAACCCTTCCCGGCCTGCCACTCACCAGGGCCACCCCCCCCCCCGGGGGAGGGGGGGATGGGGACAGGATACTCGGCCCCGCGTGCGTCCCCGGGCCCGCCGGTGCTGGGCGCAGCGCACGCTGCAACGCATCGCCTGGTGCGGCGCGCGGGTCCGTGCGCCACGGTTGGCGACTGGCACTGGGGCTGCATGGATGGCAGAGGAAGGGGGTTCCCAGCCAAAACCCTCACTATCCTCTGAAGCACAGGCGTGGCTTCAGGGCTCTCCTCCCCTGGCAGGGGTACAAATTGGGGCCACTCAGCACTTAATCAGTTAATGGGGAAGCCCCCTCCTGACCCCAGCAGGTCCGGAATGGCCAGCCCAGACTCTCGAGTTGGCTAGGGTAGACAGGTAGGCGCTGCGCCAGCACCCACATGGCCGCCCTCAGCGACTGAGGGCCCCGCTGGTATCTCTTCGGGTCCTTGCTCTCTCCAGTAGCCCGAGGCCTTCCCTCCTTCAGCTTCCGCGCTCCTCAGGGCCCCTCTTCCAGCTTATGAGCCCCGGTGGCCCCAGTGGTTTCCAAACCTGCTTGCTTGCTGATAGAACAAGTTGTTTCCTGCCTGGGGGCGGGAGTAGGAACAGGGGTGGCGGGTGGCGGGGCGTTTCCTTCCAGAGGCTTAAGCTGGCCTTCCGCTCGGCCCCTCACTCGGCTTCACCGGCAGACACAGGCTTCTCCCCGCTGGAGAATTCTCGGAAGAAGCCTTGCCCCAGCTTTCTGGAACAGCGGCTGCACCCACATGGGGTCCAGGCCTGTTCTTCCAGTACGAAGCATCCGGAATCCAAGGTCATCCTCGGCTGCAGGCACATAGCAAGTCTGAGGCCCGCATGGACTACTCACAATACAACAAACTTTTGTAACTTAAAGATCTGGCGAAACAGAGCTGCTTCCAGCAAGATGGAGATGCTCCTGCGACCACGGCTCTGCTCCTCTGTCTCCCTGCCTACAGTCCGGCCTCCAGTTCACACTCTTCCTGTTCAGGCAGGCTTTCCCTGCAGCCTGGCTTGAAAAGCCTGCACTCTGGAGGCTGGACTTGCAGGCCAGCAGCCGCCTGCAAGGGGAATGGGTACAGAAGGCCACAGCTGATGTGCTGAGCTAAGGGGAATGGGTGAGGAAGGCCATAGCTAATGTGCTGAGCTGTAAGTACAGCAGTAGGGACCCAGCTTTGGAGGCAGGGTGATTTAGAGTCATAAGGACTTGCGGCAGCCAGGTAACTCGAGGCTCCATATAGCCTTCCATCTGTGAAAGTGGAGACAGGTTGCCAGACAGCAGGATGAGGACAACTGGGCAGTGGGCACACAGGTAAAGGATGGGTGTGTCCTTCCGCCCTCCTAAAGTGGATGGAAGCCTCTTCCAGAGACCACAGTCCCCGGTGGTTCCCTCCTCTCTGAATCTTGTGTGTGTGTTTCCATAGGCTCATTTGAGGAGGCCAGAGGACATTGTTGGATGCCCTCTACTTATCACTCTCCAACTTATTCCCTTGAGACAAGGTCTCTCACTGAAGCTGGGACAAAGCTGGCAGCCAGCAAGCCCCAGCCATCCTGTTACCCCTGCCCCCACACAACACTGGGGCACAGGCACAGCAGAATCCATGTCTGGCTCTTTCTATGGGTGCTGGAGAGTTGAACTCAAGCCCTCACGCTTGCCTGGCAAACTTTCTCACCCACTAAGCCATCTCCTAGTCCTCTGTCCCTTCACCTCTTCCCCCTTGCTCTGCTGAATTCTTTCCAGAAGTGTTTACACATCCACGGGACCTTCCTAGTCTCAAAACAGGCAGACACCATGCTCCCTCGCCTGCCCATCCCTCCTTCCCTTCTCCCACTTGGTCCAAGCTCCATCACGTTACCCACATGGCTCCCTCTCCCGTGGCACCACCCACTTCTGTGTCTTTATCTTCTCCAGCCTGGAGGCAGCACTGGACTCCTGCTGGCTGGCCCTCGGTCTGCCCCACTCTGACCCTTTTGCACACTTTGGGGAGGGGGATCTCTGGAGACCATTGCTTGCTTTTGCATCGTTCCCATGCGCAAGCGCTCTTGGGAAGTAATTGTTTCTCTACAGATATTTCCTCTGCATGTAGCCCTTATCCCCAACCCTTAAAACTTTTTTTTTTTGAGACAGGGTTTCTCTGCGTAGCCTTGGCTGTCCTAGACTCACTTTGTACACCTCAAACTCACAGAGATCCACCTGCCTTTACCTCCCAGAGTGCTGGGATTACAGGTGTGAGCCACTTCCTTTAAAAAGTGTGTGTGTGTACATTGAGTGCAGGTGCCTGTGGAGGCCACAAGAGGGCATCATATATCCTGAAGCTTTAGTTACAGGAGGTTGGGAGCCACTCAACATGGATGCCGGGATCACCCAGGTCCTATGTCAGAGCAGCAAGTGCTGTTAATCACTGAGCCATCTCTCTCTCCAGCCCATTCCCACCTCATTTCTTGGCATCGCTCTCTCACTGACGTTGTAGCCAGATGGCCAGAAGTCTGGGTGGACTGGGGCCCCTGGAACTGGTGTCTGGTGTCTGAAATGTGGTTAGCTTCACCACCGTGCCCCTAACCTGTGGAGTCTGTGCCCATTCTAGTGGTTACTGTTTTTTGGGGTTTGTTTGTTTGTTTGTTTGTTTGTTTGTTTTGCATCTTTGAATGGATGCATGTTTACTGCTTCCATACTTACACTTACGGAATTGTCTTTGGGACTGAGCCCAGGAATCTTCTCATGAATTTCCCATTCGTTCTAACCATTCTGGTGTTAACCTCCCCCAATTTTTCTCTTTATTCATTCATTTATTTATTTATTCATCCTTAATTCTCCTGGCAACTCTTCCCACATCTTCATCTTGGGGGTCAGCCACTAGCAACAACTCTTGTCTCAGCCTCACACCCCGTCCAGCTGACTAGAGATCTATTTTCTCTTGTTGATTTTAAATCACATTTAAAATGCCACAGTGCCACAGTGCATAAGTTGTCTCCTTCTCCCATGGGGCTCCAGGGAGCTGAACTCAGCTTGTCCCACTCCGTGGCAAGCGCCTTTATCTACCAGGCCAGCTCACCAGGATTATTGTTCGTTTTTCATTCTCTTTCTTTTCTTATTTTTTGCTTTTGGTTTTTGGGAGACAGGGTTTCTCTGTATAGCTGGAGCCTTCCTGAAACTCACTCAGTAGACCAGACAGGCCTCAAACTCAGAGATTCACCCGTGGAGGAAGTCTCGCAGCCCAGGCTGGCTTCAAACTCACTATGTAGCCCTTGAACTTCTGCTCTTTCTGCTTCTACGTCCTAAGTGCTGGGATATGGGCATGGGCCACCGTGCCCAGTTCATGCAGAGCTGGGGATAGAACCCAGGGCCTCATAAATGCTATGCAAGTACTCCATCAACTAACCTACCCCCCTTCCAGATTCCTTTTATATAGTTTCTAGTAGGTATTTTGTCATGAAGATACAGAAAGCCAGTTCCTATGACTGAGGCAGTTACAGCCACTCATGGAAATGTGGTGGTGAAGTAAGAATGAAGGGGCCCAGAGAGACCGGTAGCCATTGGTGGCATCCACTGTGGGTGCTGTTCTGTCTAGGTCCTGGCCAGGACCACTGGGAGGAGAAGTCCAGAGCTGGAGGTGGCTGAGTAGCCCCACATGGGCCCCAGACATGTAAGGGGTCCGGGCCTCCACACGCCTGAGTGTGGTGTGGCTGCACCGGTCTCAGTTTTCTGAAACCGTGAAGACAGAAGGACTCCTAGCCTGGTGTGCAGGGCTCTGCTTGCAG